TTCTCTCCATAAGATCCAAAATTCTCCTGTTTTTCAAGACCGGTTTTCGGAAATCAATTCATTCTAGAGAGTTGAATGTAGAAATAAAGTGATTCATTGAACAAATTTTGTCCCAATATGACCATTGCACGTCCGACACTTGACTTCACTATGAACAAAATTTTACTACTTTGCAAAGTAAGCTGTCTTCTGAATTTGAAACATTCAAATTAGTTGTGGAACCTTTGCGCTAGAAATTTTCGTCGTTGTTGCTACAGGTACAAAAACATGCATATTTTTTATTGCTTTTTATATCAAAATATCGTCAATTGTTGAGGTTTTGTCAAGAACTTCGTGTGAGTAGTCATGGTAGCTCAAATCGAACCATAAAAATTGCGCATGATATGTTAGCCACCGAACTACGAAGTTGTAAAGATTTACTCGTTCTCGTCTAGCTCTCAGACTTTTCTAATTCAAAAAATTCAAATAACAAGTCAGGCATGTGTTTTCGACCTTAATACTAGCTGTTCTTTGTCGGTTTCCTCGTCGTCTTCACACGATTCCTTATGCTGACGACGACGCATTTTGCATGCGCTTTTCGACCGCAGCATTTGGCTACTACTCGTAATCTTCGTTAGAATAGACTCAGTCAGAGTCCAGTTCTTCGAATCAAATAAAATTGGCTAGTATTCAACACTAAAAAGGTTGGGATTCACTTTAGTTCACAGATTATTCATCAATTGATCTCCTCTGCTTCACTTTATCAAATAGCATTTGCATTATATGGCCAAATTCCGTGCTGTCATATACTTTTTTTCCCTTTTCCCTTCCTTTTCCTTTTTTCTTAAATAGAACCAACAAATAGCAAATATGATAAGTAAAGCCCAAAAAGGAGGATACCAACATAAGATGAAGATTGCATACGAGTTATACATCAAGAGACGCGTTTTTAAACGCTAATTCATAATCTGCTTTACTTTTTTGCGGAACAACTCCGAAGAAGTTTGACCGTTTGAATGTCCAAATCTGGGTAGTAGGTGACACAAAATTAGCTAAAATCCCTACAAAAATATTTATGCAGATTTTTGCTGGTTTACTCCTTGTAGTCAATTAATTAATACCAAATTGATTCCACTTTTAGGTGTTTTTGTACAGCTTTTCGCTGATTTTATGCCAATTACGGCTTGGAAAACTTGGACATTCGAAGGCTCATAACTTGTTTCAAAGAGTTATTCCGCAAAAAGGGAAGCAGATATTGATACTTCAAAAACGTAATTATTCTGTTTGAGGTGCGGTGATACATAGAATCTTTGAAAGCTATAACCAAACTGAGTCGCAAAACTTGGCAAGAAAATCTCATACTGATATCTCGCTAGAATTTACATCATATACTATATAGGGTGCTACACAGATATTCATTTATTTTCAGGATCTGGACAGCGATCAGTTCCATGCAATCTCTATTTTATCTTTTTTGAGATTTCTTAGTTTGATAGTTCCTATTTTTGCAATGTATCACTGTGGATGGAATCTCAGTGTTTCTTACCAGTTTAATCTAACATTATCGTCTGAGCAGAAAATGAGCTTAGAACATCTTGAAGACCTATTTTTACTGTCTGTTTCCTAGAAAATTTGGATTTCAAACATCATGCAGGCTATTTAATAACCGTGGTGCTCTGGAAAAATGCTAACTTTGAATTTCATAGTATAAATGGCTTATTCAATTACGGTTCTCAGCGAACTCACCTAAATCCGGACGACTGTGAATCTCGAGATTTGTCTAGCACAACATTGCATGGATTAAGACTATTCGACCAACTACTTAAGCAACAAGTCTACTGCTACTTTACGTCTGCCCCTTTTTTCTGTCCATGTCTCAAAATAGCTTATGTTTTTAGCTATTCTACTTCCTTTCACAGTGTTTCCAAACACTGTGGGAGTGAGCTCTTTACCTCCAAACATAGCTGTTGCTTGACAAAGAACAATCATAAGTTTCCCCTTTGATGTCATAAAATTCATTCCACTTTAGAACCTACTGTTTTTTTCAGCAGTGTGGGAGTGAACGCATTCTTCAAGGGCAATTAACGTTCACATGAGCATAAGACCTATTTCTTGCCAGCTCAAGAAAATTCTTTAAATAGGAAGCATTTTCAGGATTTTGGATTTTACTGCTTTGAATGCCTTAACAGTTTCATCTCGGTTCTAGTTTTGGCCAAAGGAATTCATGAGTGCCTATATGTGTAATTTTAATTGTGTAATTTTTTTGTGTAATTTTATCTAATGTGTTCAACCAAAAAAATTTTTCGCTTTTGCCTGCTCCATCATTACCTTATAGGTTGCTCATAGAAGAAAGAAATCTTATTTTTCGGGCTACTTAATGTTACCATGATTACAACTCATAGCTCCATTTTAACCTCCAAAGGTTAATACTACAAAATCACCTTTGTGGGAGAAGCTTAGGACTGCTTCGGCAGAAATATGCCAAATTTCGTTTTTGATTTAGCCATGAAAAATCACAAAGTTGTGCATACGAATGCCTGCTGTAGAGAGCGTGTGCGTGAGTAAGTTGGAATTCCTAGCATTTTTCTTGACGGAGATACAATTTTCAAAAATTTAACTCCGGTGCTTTTTGAAATCTGGCTACAAACTTGACGCAAATCAAATTTTGTAGGGCTTGCTTAGGTCTATCAGTTGGTTCCCCACCTATTTTTTTGTGCTTATCCTGCAGCAATATTGCATGATGAAAACGATGCGACATCATTTTCCGGACAACCCAATACTTAGCTCGTCCAGATTACACCTTTTTCTTGAAGTGATGACTCCGAAACAGGGCCCGGCACGAGGTCGGCAAATGACAAGCTGGAAATCGTTTTGGGGCCAAAAAGCAAAGGGGAAATCGTTTTTGCGGGGTCCGGGGCGGAGCCCCGGAAAAAAATTGGTGGTTCATGCTCGCTACTTATCTTGACATGTTATGTGCCTCAACAGGCGAACACTGGAGTTCGCGCGCGTCAAACCGCGCCGTCGCTAACTGCCGCACGCGCGACGTCGCCCAAGCGATGCTATTTGTAACAGCATACATGACTAGTTCTCGATGTATGTGTAACGATATGACACCAAATTTTGTACGCGAACGGAGAGAGGCTAGTGGAAACATAGTATGAAAAATTATGAAAAACTTATGTGAACGGAACGAGTAATTAGCATTTTTTCCGAGAATTTCGCAAAACTGGTAAATGAAGATGTGAATTCAAACGGCTCGTTTAAACGCGCAGATGAACGATATGGTATGAAACTTGGTAAGTAAATGCACACGGGCTTGCAGGGCTTAATTGAGGAGTTTCATTGAAAAATTATGTGACTGAAGGTTGTGGCAAACTTTTTTCTGAAAATTTTGCGCTACCAAAGAAACGGAAAAATGGCTCGTTTGCAACGCAGAGGTAACGAAATTGCGTGGGATTCGGTGTGTATATGCGCAATAGGACTAAGTAATAAAGTATGAAATATTATGAAAAACTTATGTGAATGAAGAGCGTCCTTAACTAATTTCCAAATTAGGTCGGCATTTGCCGACCTAATTCCCACCTGAGGTCGGCAAAACACTCAATTCACATAATTTTTTCAAAATTTTTACATAAATCTGTTGTACACCTAAAGTTTACTACATGGTGAAATTTTGGTTCCGAAACTCCTCCTCTTGTCCTTGTTAGAGCCCAAAATCGCATCAGCAGCCTAGCTTTCTAAGATGGAAAGCGCGCCCCAGTCAATCGATACGCGCGGGAACGGCGTCTCTCATTCCTATGACTGCGTTTCTTTAATATTTTCTCATTCCTTAATCATTTTTCTTGCTTATCTTTCTTCCTGTTTCCTATCTTGATACAGCTGAAAAGTAATTTGAGGAATTTGAGCAATTTGGGCGCTTTTGAGCGCTTTTAGGCGAAGTGTGGCCGGTAATCTCGTCGCACAAGCACAAAACGTCATTTTTGGGCTCAAGGGGGTATTCGTAAAATTTATTGGGATCAAAGGGGAATTCGTTTTGGAAAACCCCGTTTGCCCACCTCGTGCCGGGCCCTGCTCCGAAATTTAGTTGTCAGAGCCCTCAGTATTGGGAACACGCTCTTCATGCACTATTAGTTGGGTCTGCCCATCTAATGAAGTTATGCTAGCGTTTAGCGCACCTCTTCGATCCCCTGAGATGTGACGCTTAGAAGTCTAATGTTTTCTCACTCATTCTTCATAGTTCTTGGCCTATTTTTTAGAAGAATTGCGAATATGGAAGCATGATTTATTTCCATAACTATCGTACATGAAAATGTTTTATTTTTGGTATGATAATGACATGGAGTTTTAGTGCTCAAGTAAGAACGCTAAATGCTATACATGAATGGTCCGTTCAATATTTTCAACAGATCGTTCCGGCTTCAAGGTCGGGAAAATCGGATTTCGAGCAAGACTACCTTTTTTTTCGCGATTTTCATTTTGTGAACGGACTCTTTCGGGGCAACTACGAATTCTGAGTTACTACTACCGGTATTACAGAGTACCTAACTGGCCGATTTTCTTTGTTAAATCGGAAATTGCTGCAAACTCTTAGCAGATGATTGCGAAGCCCTAAATCTGACTAATCTAAGCAGAGGCTAACAAAAATTGATAACTCTATTTGTGATCATGTATTCCCTACAAAAAACAGAAAGCTCGTTGCTTGTTCTTTGACTTTTCTCACAGCTTGTTTCCATTTCTGAGCCGCATCCGGTCGAGAATGTGTCAATCAGAAAGGTGTATAGTCCACTTCATCCTAAACGAAAAAATGTTGCATAACTGGAAAACCGCATTGCACATATTCGCGTCTGTACCCTTATAAATGCTCATCTTCTCTCTATTCTAGAGCACGCTGACATAATTGTGCAGATATGACTGTTATTGTAAAATATCCACTTAGCTGATTTATTTCATTACTATCACGGCATGCTTTCACGATCTTTCGTCATGCATGCGAAACCTGATTGATTGCAATAATTTCTTCCAGTGATTCGCAAAACCAAATTTTGATGAGGGGATGAACGAATCAGACGAGCAGGACCCATGTGTCTATGTTGAACCGCGGTTTGTTTACGAAAGGTGGGTGCAAGTACTGGCTATGCATTTTTTCCAAAAATTCGCGGATGAATTTTATTTTTGATAAGAGCAAGTCGCTTAAAATGGTATTTTTTGGAGGGGCCTTTACTTTCATTTCCTATCCATAGGTATGCTTTCAGGTTCATCCTTGTGGCAATCGTGGGTACCAGTGTCGCTTTGCTCAACATCCTCGAAAATGTCTTCCTTTGTTTTATTCTTTTCGGCAAGTAAGTTCCGAAGGGTTTACGGTATTTGGGCAATTTTGTATGCGACAAGCAAAAAGTTCGTTCAAAAAAGGTGTGTTACTGAGCTAAGGAGTCCTGGTGTTCTGAAAAGCTTTCATTTTTGAACCTCTTTTGACCGATAATGGTTGAAAGATTGCTTGTTTCATATAAGCTATTAAAACTATTATTTCAATATATCCTCTCCCTCCCACAAGAACAAAAAATTGATGCAGGTTTTGCATTTAGAACTTTTTGAATAAATATACAGAAGATCACGAGCTTTCTTGCAACACCTTTTTATCACCCATGGAGTTTTCTTGAATTCACAAAGAGATGGTGAAATTTTTCCATGCGCTATACCCCTCAGGACTCGGCACAAAGTGGATATCCGAAAATGCAAAAAACGAATTCCCCCTAACTTTTGCAAATTTTTACGAAGACCCTTTGCCCTTATCCGAAATATCCGAATCGACTAGAAAACACATTGACTAAAATTTTTAAACCCACAAAACGACAATCACTTACTTTTTGTCCCACTATAACCACCCTGCTTATAAGCCACCAGTGCGAGCCCTATTACCCGTTATCGATTATGAAAGGACCCTGCTCTCTTCAGGTAGAAATTCTCCTATAGAATAAGTTTACTTAGTTTAAGTGTGCCACTACGATCTTCAATCTAAAAATCTGCGAATCGAACAGATTTAAAACAACCTAGTATATCGTCTTTCCCGACCCAACATCTTCCAGGAAATCCTACCGCTCATCCCACTGCCTCTATCTCGCTCTCCTTGCTTTCTTCGACATCTTCATAGCAGGTGCCTACATTCCACTGATGAGCTTAAATCTGCTTGTGGACTATTGGAAATCGGTTGTTTTGCTGCGAGCATGGTGATTAGCCTACACAGCTGATTTCGCATAATTATTTGTTGTTATTCAGGTTCACATATATGATACCAATGATAACCGTATCACATATCGCTATGACTGCGTCGTCATTTCTGATGGTGGCTGCAAGCTTTGAACGATACTGTGTCACAGTACATCCTCAATACACTAATTTTCTCAACCGAAACAGGTAAATTACTTTTGCTCAAAACTGTTAGCTTAGCTTCAGCTGCGCATTTCTTCCATTTTGAAGTCAGGAAGGAAAAAAACCTTTTTTCACAACCAAAAAATTCTTTCTGAGGAATCTCAAATGCTCTATACTAGTCTTTTCTCAGTCTCTTGAAAGACATTCAAATTGGGTCCGTTTAGCATCATCATTTTTGATGTTAGCCATGAGATATAAATTGTCTCTTTGAACGTAGTTAATTGATGAACTGGGGAATTATTATTAACGGTTTGCAGTTCCTAGAATGATTTTCGGTAGAAATTAACACTATAGCCTAAAGCCGACAAAGTTACAAGTGTTGGGTTGGAACCTAAGTTTTGCAACTCCCTTCATAACTTTACTCTCTTCGATGTTGCGCACTCAAGCTTTGACAATATGTATAAGCTCCTGCAAGACGAAGGCGGTCGGTACGATGTGCAACGCGGCTGCGACATGGCAGCGTCACAGCAGCGTCACAGCCGCGTCACAGCCACGTCGCACCTCGAACCAACCGCCTTCGTCTTGCAGGAGCTTATAGAAACTAGTGAACCAGCAATTGAAGGTGCTAGTAGCATGCGCGCGCTACAGGACCGCCACGTGGTTTCCCCTATGTGCACATTTTTGAATTGCGCTTACGATTCTTTATATATTAGATTAAGGCCTCCTATAATGGTGCACAAACTGTATAGAATTTGAACACGAATTAGAAAAATTCGAGACGTTTCCTGAACAGTAAATTTCAAGAACTTTGGGATAGTAAGCCAAATGAAACCGTTAGCAATCTAGACCATGCGCAATGATCCGAAAATGTGTGGGATTTATTGCTAAAGGTTGATTCGTGTGAGTCAACAAGAAAGAAATGAAATTGAAGATAACTCGAGGTTTTACGCCCTCACAGAATTGAAAGAGCCGCTGTGCGCAAGACTGGGATAACCATCAATGACTGAGGAGTCGGAACCTCAAAATTCGCCGAGATTCGCACATCGGGGTTATTTGACCTGACAAACACAAACATCATATTCATTCGTTGTTGACGTTTTTCTTGATTAGAGGACCTACCGTAAACCTACAGTAATCTTTTAAAAACCCTCATTGCTCAGACAATTGCGTCGGGAAGTTCGCGGGCGCCTGCCCGACCACCAATCATCCGTGCCGCGAGCTGCCCGCTGAACTTCTTCTGGGCGCGGTAAGCGAGCGCCGGCATATCCTGTGCCCGTTAAGCGCCTATTTTTGACCCGATTAGCATGCCTGTAAGAGCTAGAAGGAGTGGAGAACCTTTAGGCCTGTCTTTCAAGATGACGACTTCTGTGCAATTCGAACAACTTGTTTGCTCGTCTGCCGACATCATCTGATGTCCTCGATAATACTCGTCCAATTGTTGCAGTTTTTTTATGAGCAAGAAACTCAACTCTATCAGACAATCTCAAGGTAGAGAAGTGACACCGAACCCCACTTCATTAAGATAACCCAAGCGCTGCGGCGTACCTCACACGAGTTGCGCTTTTACCTACACCATATAAGAAGTGCGGGATTTCACGTCGCGACGCTCCCGATAATCTCTTCTCGAATTTAACTTTGGCCGCGGCGTTCCCGTTAAAATTTTTATAGGCCGCCATGCGAGGCTGAAATTTCATTGGCCGCGGCGCGCCATGTAACAAGCTTTGAGACTGCGAACTTCCCGATGCAGTCTTCTGAGCATGTATTGCTGTACCTCTTCAGTATCGCTCTCGTGATTAGCACGTCGAATAACCCCTCTATGCCAAGTTTCAGCCAAATCTGTAGAATTTTATAATTTTCCTCTTTGTACCATATAACCCTCACCGCGACATCAGAAGGGCAATAGAAGCTGCGTTTGTAGCTTGGTCATAATCTATAACTAGCTGGCTTACCCGGCTCCGCCGTATGTTCCGAATAGAAAATTCCATTTCTTAACCGATCCGGACCAAACTTGGCACACATACACTTCGGGCCCCGGCGGGTGTCACAGTCCACTTTTCGTTATCGATCGACGTCGATTTTATCGATTTTTTGCAAAATTTGAGCTAGGGGGCTGGAATTTGGCAGAGGGGTGTAATCGAGCATGCTGATCACCCCCACGGGGGTGATCAGCATGCTCGATTACCCCCTGTGCCAACTCCCAGCCCCGTAGGTGAACTCTGCAGAAAAAATCGATAAATATCGATAAAAATCGATAAAATCGATATCGATCGATGACGAAAAGTAGCCTGACACCCGCCGGGGCCCGAAGTGTATGTATGCTAAGTTTGGTCCCGATCGGTTCAGAAATGGAATTTTCTATTCGGAACATACGTACACACAGACAGACAGACAGACATGCAGACAAACAGACAGACATACAAACAGACATTCAGCTTTATATATAAGATATATAATGACAGAATTTGGATGCGCCATGTTGAGAGAGAAGAGCATTAGTGAGATAGTCGCAAAACTTAGTTTGCAACCTAATAAAAACCTTAAGATGTAGTACTTCGGCAAATATTCATATTTTTACGAGCCGAGAATTTCATAGTGTGTCTTTCAGGAACCGCATAGCAGCTGCTGCCGTGTTTCTCGGTGTAGCCACGAAATGCACCCATCCTTTTGAGTTTGAGGTCAGTGATTTTATTAAGAGATGCTAAACAGTAGGAAAAGATTGATGATTCATTTAACAGTTGACATCCGAACCCTTTTGGGCGAAAATCCCACTAACGCTTGCACATATGTCCCGTGAGTATGCGCATCTGCTCGAATCCATTATCTGGAAGTCTTCTTGGAACTTATTAATCAAACAAGCAAATTTTATCCAGAACTACATGTATCTCAAGGAGTCCTGTGAGGATTTACAGCACCCACCCTATTCCACAGAAAACGCAAAAACTGACAATACGCGTTTTCTTAGATTTTCTTCATAACTTCCTTCCGACAGCATAAGAGATGAATCTGTCGAAAACATAATGCTCAGCTCGTCAAGGCGAATCTTTGATGTACTAAATTATCTTGCTATTCGTTTTTCAAACTGCTCGATTTTTCGCGGGGACGGGTTTTCGCAGTGGTGTTACGCAGCACAAAACACACATAGAGGACTATAGTGAGCACGATTTAGTAGAGCTGTCACCATAGGTCATCAAGCGCTAGCAATTAGCCGGAGATCTCTTTTCCAGAGAGATAGACCGGTGAAGTTTGAAAAATTCCATGTCTTCTAAACTTTACTTACCGTACCCCTACAAGACGCTGATTGCAAAGCAGGTGTGCTTTTCATAAAAGCCAGCCTAAATAACCTCTATGAGCAAGTTTCTCAAGAAATCGGGGTCCTCTGTTTCTTTTTCGCTTCAGGCCACCAATTTTATTACTGTATAGAAGTTATCTACCTTAGAACTTTTCGTCTGCACTTAAATACTAACTCGCGTGAGTAATACGTATGCATGAAAATGCTATACGGGAGTCAGGGCATGCCAGGGTGTTGGGTTGAGAGCTTTACTATTCAAATCCCACCGTTTAAGAAATCATCTCACTTAATGACATGAAATAATATTCTTTACAGATTACTTACGTCCCTGCATGCCACGGTACAATGAACGAGTACGAATTAGGACTATCAGCTCTTGCCCAGGACGAGATCTACAACGCCTACTGGAGGATATGGTGGGTGTTTGATAAAGTATCACTTGATGCTTTTGTATCGCCTAGCAACTGACACAATATTTTTAGGTTTCGCTCAGTGTTCACCATTCTTATTCCATTTTTTCTGCTTGCATATATGAATGTTCGAATTGTTCTTGTCATTCAAAGGACAGAATTTCAATTCATTAGTGCTCAAAAGCTTAGCGACGCTAAGAGAAAGGTAACAAGTCTATTACCACCGATGATATAATACCATTTTGTATCTTACAGTCAAGAGTGCGAGCTGCAACACGGACCCTAGTCTTCGTGGTGGCTACCTACTTGCTGTCAAATATTCTCAATGTCATTATCACTATCTGGGAATATATAGACTATTACTCAGTTACTGTAACCTTCTATAATTTCTATATCTTTGCCGTGGATGTGGTAAGGGCTTTGATTATTTGTTCGTGCAGGGATGAATCTCATATCTAGGTGTCGCTGTCAACGATAATCGCTGGTGCGCTACGACTTCCAATCTATGTATGCTGTCAATCGGAACTGAGGAAAGAGTTTGCCGCCAAATTGAAAGGAATATTCAGGAAACGATCATACAAAGTTCGTTCTCTATTACGCTCAATCTTACTATGAGAAAGATTCAAATAACTATGATTAGTCAAACACCGCAAAGATAATAAGATAACTTTTATCTTCATTTCATTTATACAATCCAGTCTATCAAAAATAAACCAATGTGAATGCTAGTAATACAATGAAATCTAAATAGTATATGAACAAAGTTGTGAACAGGTGATCACGTCAATTTGAGTCTAATCTCAATTAGACTAGTGCATAAAGATAATTAAGCTTGCATGAATGATATAATGATAAGCGATTAGATGCTAACTGTGGAATCATAACGAGAAAGAACTGCCCCATAGATCCAGCAGATCGCTTTAATATTCTTAAAAGCAAATTGGAAGTGATAAGCCAGGTCCTCTGGGCATAGTACGCTTCTCTTCCCCTCAACCAATATGTTTGGGAAGCCCAGTTACTCCAAGGAAAAAGTGCAGAAATGATTGCCCATTGATATTAACTGCGGTACGCAATTTTTCAAGTTACCTGCGCATCTTTGCATGGTTACCCTTTCAACTGGCTTGGCGACTCATAGGCGGGGCTTCGTGACCTAGTTAAGTCTGTCGCCATTGCGTACCGATGTTTCATACTACTGCTCGTTTCTTTAGATATTCAAGATAAGATTGGGAAACGACGTATAGGGCATTCGAGAAATCGTGACGATGTCGCGACCGCTCGCGACATGCACGCGCCTTCCGGCAACTGCATATTCTTGGTTCCAATTTACTCAACTGGTTTTCCTGCTTAGGTATGATAGTACTTGGACATTGGAAGTGACTGAGCTAAGCGTTGAGGTGATGCCTTTTTGTTTTAGAGTGTTATGCTCCTGTGGGTGCAAAGACCGCAGTCAAATCCATCGTCACGATTTTACAAATCAGCCTCACATAGAGATTTTTGACATGGAGTTTGATGAAACAATACTTCAAGACATGTTGCTTACCGAAAAAAGATTTCAGTACAACGGTTTTTATACTTAGTCTTTCCTCTCGGAAAAAATCTCGAAAAAACACAAAAAATCTGGATCAAAGCAAAGGGTTGTAGGCACCGCGCTCTGCCGTAACAGGCGTGCTCTAGTTCAAATTCGAATTTGTCCATTAGGTGTCTAGTGGGGAGGGGGGGGGGGGGGGGTGAGAGAGACCTATAGTCATAAAAAAGCGCATGTCTATGCGAGCGAAGCGCTCTCGAGCGCGAGTTTCTGGCGAGTGGTTTTGACCATACACATCACGTGTGCTACAACTATGATAAGCCCTCGACTACCGCGTTCACGGCCGCTTCGCGAATCAAAAATCTGTCATAATGAAGGAATAAAAACTACTGCATTATAGCTTTAGTTCAAAATATCAAGCCTAATTTCGCCATTGCTCCTTTGAGAAACACATTTATCATATTACAGGGTTACAATCAAACAGTAATGACAACATTGGGTACGGACGATACTCGCGAAGATGGTCAACGTAATGGCAGTGCTGTGGATGATGAAGATTCATCATCTCCGCCACCGTATCCTGGTCTATTTTTCAAATTTGGCACTGGTCTTCTACCGGAGCGCGATAGTGACAATAATTGCAATATAATTAAGAATGACATGTGCTTATAATTGCAAGACGTGTGCCATTTTTCCAGATATGCTTCTGTATATAATGTATATGCTCTAATTGTAGATAATTTCGATTTTCGAAATGCGGGTTTGTTTGCAATACTTAACATTTTTTAATGAATGGTGTTTGTTGACATGGATAATAGCACTTTGTCTCTAGCAATACTAATGTCATGCTTCTATCGGGTATTTTTAGCATTTGTAATTACTCGCAATTCAAACTCTCTTCTCCCGCAAGCTCATCAGAAACGTCGTAGTATCTGCATTTTCTACGATCTCTTTGAAATGATACTTTGATACAATATAAAACGTTTTCAGCCTCCTTTTCATAATTCAGTCCAACCACACAATAGCAGCAACTCGGTGTGATACATTAGATCTGTCGAAAAATTCGTTTGCCTTTTTTTCTAAACGTGCGCCACATTCCACAGATCTCACGAAGATTCGAAATGCTTCCATGCAGCTTTTCATCTCCTTCGCTATTTATGCCTCCACTGCAGTTCATCCGAAGAACTTAAAAAATGGTTTTCGCCATATTCAAGCCTATTTTATCTAAATTTTCATATCGTCTCCCCGAAATAGCCCAAATAGCAGATAGAGCAAACCCAATAAGACGCGGAGCTTTTCACAGGCTTTTTCTCACCATTTTATCAATTCGGTGAAATCACTTTTCAGAAGTACTCATTTTTTAGTAGAAATAGCGGTGAGGGAACTTACGTACGTACCCCGAAAGACTCGCCGTCACGTAATAAGCAGAGGTCATGAACTGGCAGCAACGCTAATTCGCATCCAATTTGCATCAAAGAAGACCTGATTCAGCATCTGATAACTCCCCCATTATAACAGATCATGAAACCCGATTTTGTCAAAATTCCGATTCGAAGTTCAGTAGTAAAATTAGTCCGATCGGAGTAAAAACTTGTGTTCAGGGACATTCCTTCACGCTGCTTGCGAATGCGATGGTGGTTTCCCTCAAATCATAAATTTCGAAAAAAAAGGAAAAACAATTTCAAATCACGAATTTTCTGCAAAAATCTCAACATTTCAACATGCTACTTAGAGGTGTTCTGTCATGCTGTTTCCGACTAACGATAAGCTAATGGTTGCTTGGTATTTTGAAGTTTTGGTTTTGAAATTTACAATTTACAACCGTTTACACTTTGGAAGGCTATATGATGGATAAGATAGAACTGGCGATGATAACAACAGAAAAACTTTCGCTTCCTTATTGAGGGAGAGCAACAAAGGGCAAACTCTTTTACAAGAAAAAAAATGATTGGAGAGCCTCATGTGATATCGAGGAGTAAAGTGCTGACAGCTTATCAAATGCTCAACAAAACAAAAGAAACCGTGGAGAAAACCCAGTCACTCCAAACTTCGCTGAGAATAGCTTTTTCTATGCGACAAAAATATTAGATTGTCGGATGATTTCTGCTACATTTTTTCTAACCTTCTGGATCATTGTTAAACTTCCTGGAAAAGTCTGCGACACCCTTAGGACACAGCAGGGTCTACACCCCGCCCATGAGTGATGCCGCGAATGCACAAATGACCGACTCAGACAAATCACGGGAACTTCCCGAGGACAAGCTAATTTGCGAAACTTCCCGAGGGCTTGATTTATTACTGAGCTGAAAGAGGGCAAAAAAATGGGAACCTCCCGAGAACAATGACGTCAACAGCAATGAAGTAGGGAACTTCCCGAGGAAATCCTTGGGAAGTTCCCTTAAATGCAGTACCTCCCGAGCACTTAGATATGAGGGAACTTCCCCAGGACGCGTAGGCGTGCCACTCCACTTTCATTTTTGCACCTGCTCGGTCGTCTGTCTTGCACTTCTCTTGCGTTTATGAACCATCGGCTCTCTGGCAGATCTAGGCGCAGAAATTTCTGAATGCTAATAACTCCCTCAGAACTCTTGAGTGTCTCTATATTCAAATTACATTAGAGGTTTTTTTTTGATCCGTCGTTACTCTAAAATCTGACATTTAGGGCCTCCATGCACAGAAATTCGTCTAAAGATAAGTTCGATACAGAATAAGGCCGCATCCTGCTCATCTGACAAGATTCTAGGTTAGTTATAATGGCAACAAAGCAAGACAGCCTTATCTAGGTCAAAAGTGGCCCAGTATTAGATCTTTGGGTAAGTTCGTCGAAAAGAATTCTTGTAATTTTGTAAACATTGTTTGCTTCGCTTATATGGGCATCCATCTTCTTGAGAGGCTACCACATAAGGTAATGTAGGTCACGGTAGCTTAAACCGCCTTTCATATAGGCCGTCCGCGCAGGGCGCAGAGAGTGCGCAAGGTATGTATTGCGCGTCACTCCTCTTTTCTCGTGCATTCTCGCCGCCTGTTTTTCTCTGCACTTCTTCCAATCGTGAACTGCCTTCAATGTACGCAACAGCGTTGCTCTCCGTGCGCAGCGCGGACGGCCTATAGCGACGCGACTACGATAGGTCAGGGGTCGACTGCCATCGGCCAGACTCCGAGCAGGCGAGAGCAAGGGCGGAGCAAATGAGTTTTGCGTGGAAGCATGCTGTTTCGCTCTCACAAGAGAGTCTTGTAAGGGCCCATGTAAGCCAAAATTGCAATTTATGGAATGTCTCAGAAGTAGCTGCTATTTGATTGTTGATGAATCTCCTGTTATTTGATTGTTGATAACTTCATTGTCTTTTACGCTGTTGAGGTATGATTTTGTAGGGTTGGCTTCAACTCATATTAGATTTGCGATTTGGAGCGGATTATGTACCTATTTCCGTTACTGTAAGGTTATGTTAGTAACTTTGAAGAAGTTTTTGGCTTATTACGAACCATATCTTACTCCAGGAAGAGAACCAAATTTGAAAATTCTTACACTAGGTTAGTCAAAGTCAGTGATTACAAATACGGGACTCGTACATCGGATTAGTCTTCTCCCATGAGTTAAGCCGGATAGACCGTAACAACGTACTTTTCGATAATCCCGAAATTTGATTGCACCATTCAAAAAGGTCTGAAAACGCAAAAAATGTGTAGTGTTATCAAGCACATGAAAACCGAACTTTCCAGAATTTTCCGATATCTTTTTTCAGAATGCCTATCTTACAACGCGTCATATGTGATGAGTTCCTACCGTAATTCTACAGCAAAGAAAAGAATTTGGTAGCTCGCCCTATATTACAAATTCAAGTTCAAGCCAATTCTTCAATGTTACCTTACGAGCTGTGAAAAATAATGGGTAGGAGAGTTACTAAGGACGAAACAGTAGGGACTTTTTTGGGGCATTCTGTATAGTCTTGTTTGTCACGAGCGGCTTGTGTCATTGCCATTGTTGCAGTATTATTTTGCGGAGAAGTGTTCGAATTGAAATGGTCTTCTGAGTAGTTTGTAGTCGAGTAAATTCTCCGCCTGCTATACTTAGCTTGTACAGTAGGTGAAATGCGGTATAATTTGCGCGTGAACGACTAACTACGCCTATGACGCCGGTCAATTGCGCGCGCAAAATGCCGGCATTAGTGGCGCGGCTACTTTACCATTTGAATCAAACATTTGAATTTACCTCTTCCCTTTATGCGATGCTAGCCAGGGGAGCCTACCACAAACTGCACTACAGGTATTTCAGGTAGGCAACGAAAACGTATCCTTTAGGAAACGCTGCACCACTGTACGCGGCAAATTCAACGCTTTGATCTGGAAGACATCTACAAATTGGTGCAAAGTGCCGAAAGGTCCCCTCTTGGGACACTGTATGACCTTATCGAAACTACACGACTGGTAGTAGAGAACGCGCTTAGCACCCGAATCCAGGCGAGTGCAATTTGTGAATAAGATGATCTAAATTATTGTGGCATAACCCAAACGAATAACTTGGAGAACAAACACCTTTCTAATCTTACATCTTTTTTCTGACCAATTACTTGTGCGGCACTTTTCAGGAGAGTTTGCTCTTGGCAAAGATGAAAGAGCTTGAGGGACAAGTAAACACCCTCAAGCAGATGTGCAAGCGCAATGGCGCAGCGACGACCAATGAAACATTGGGAACAATTTTTGGCTACGAAAATCTGAAAGGACATCACGTGACCAAATATGGCTCTCCATTTAAGGTATCTAGGACCAAGAATTAACTGAGTGACTACAATATATGCTAATCATAAGAAGCAGTCCTGAACGATATTCTAAGGGCATACGCCCCGACAAACAGAGTGAAACACAAAACATGCCTTGTCATCACGGAGTTCATGCGCACAGTATTCAAACAGGTGTGGTGATATAAATACAAAACTAATGACATGCTCTTAACATGCTATAGGATATGCTAAGTTGTTACCAAAGTTCTGGCCGTTTTCAGCCCTTTTTTTTGAATTGTTATCGTTGGAAGAACAACTGTTCTTTTCAACCAATGCTAAAAATCTAAAATTCTCTCTTGCTCATTTCAAAAGTATGTCTTTTTTATTCTGTGCAATCGCATAAAGCAAAGAGGAAAAAAAGCAAGATGAATTTTGAGCCTATAAATTCTGTTCATATACCTGTCGCTGCTGTTTTCTCAAAAGTCGCAAGAAATTAATGCAAGGAACTTTCGCCCGGTACAGCGAGCTGAGGTTCTAAGAAATTTGCAATGAAAGTAAGAGAGTTTCTCAATTACCCAGAAACGAACAAGACATAATTCTAAGATGTCGTATTCTCGTCCATATCGTAAGGAGAAATCCGAATTCGTTCTAAAATTCTTTTGCAATTATTTTTTAGATAAAATCAGTGAGCATTTCAGAATAAAAGCTTGAAGACTAAGGTAGAGGCTAATTTCTTAAATTAGAAAATGCGCTTGTTGTTAGCAAAAGCTTCTTGAAGATTTTCGCGTCGGATCCATCCGACATATGCAATTATGCGCATCGGACTTCCAACATTTCACGTAAACAAGATTTAATCGACTTGCCAGAATCCCTCACTATAACACTTACAGGTACAAGTGGTTATGTATGATTCCTTATGAAAAACGAATTTTTCAGACTTTGCGCTGGATGCACTGGATTTAGGGCACTATGATCTGCAAGGATACAGGCTCAATGCTTTGAGAAATTCTCGCGATAGGTGGGTTGGGGTTCTCAATGAGGGGTTCTTCTTTCGTTGGGGTTCTCAATTTCTCTGATGAATAGCATTTCAGCTTTTGGCTATCGTTAGGCGAAAGTGACGACGAGCGTGACAAAAAATTCAACAGCCTTCTTGAGAAGAAGTCATACTGGAGTGGCCAAATTGGAATCTGCATCTCGGAAGCGCTGTAAGCTTTTCTACGGTTTTGATTGTTTTCTCCACTAAAGTTGAATTTTGCAGCGAAGACATAAGATGAAGGAAAACTGATTCCTGCAAAGGTATAGACTTAGATTTTTGAACCATAAATTAATTTTTCCTTTTGGAAGTCCAACTCCGTGCAGAAGGAATTCGGAAGAGGAGATAAAGCGCGAATGTCGAAACAGGAATGGAGAAGAATGGCGCTGCACATGAGGGAAGTATAGCCAGTCCATCGGCGAGTTTCCTGCCCATTAACAATACTGCTACCATTGCCTCACTTTTAATACGGATATTACATCAGCCACCTCCTATATTTGTTCTTTCCTTTTTGTTCTTTTGGTTTTCTTCTGTTATGCCTCTTGTATCAAGGTCACTGTCAACGTTCAGTCGTTGCTTTCACGACTTCTCACTAATCTGATCTCTGTAGCACATTTTTGGCAGTTTCTTTTCTGTTATCATCGCAATGTTTCTACGCGAATGTATTGCCTCAAAAATAGATAAATAAATAATTCTTTTCAACTCTCGTGAGTGTAACAATGTGTACGATGGAAGCATCCAAAGAAATGAGCGGGAAATATTCTTACGATGGTCTAGGCGAGTAAAAAAGTCCTGCTAAAGCCAAAAGATGGGAAGTTCCTGAAACCCTTGAGGGAACTTCTCGAGGACGATAGCGGTACTTCCCCAGATGATCCTCCGGAGACTCCGCTGAAGCCTTCGGGAAGCTCCCCTAAATTGTCTGAGGACATTTGTGAACACACTCAAACTGTTCTCTTTGATTTTCTTCTCTGCACTCACTTGTGCTTTTCCTCTTATATAGTTTTTAGGAACGTTCGGCACTGTCTCTTATATGGAGGCACCTCTAGCGTTTCAAAAACGAGGCATAAAAAAAGCTGAATTCTTCTCTTTATTTACATCGTGTAGAAATGAATACAGTGAGCTTGGAAGTGATCTTTTTTTTGAATTTTTTTTGGCACAAACTGAAACTTGAACCGCTTGGATAAACTTGCACAGACATGTCTGTGTCATCCTCCCAGATTTGTAAAAGACTGTATTCTATGCCCTACTTGATTACCACGTCGTCCAGTCACTTGCTTATCACCGGGGAATACCAACTTTACAAAAATAGGAACAAAACGATTATCAGCCAAAGAGGATGTTATGCAGGGACGGCAGCTGCGACGGTACTAATGAATAAATCGTTTGACCTTTCCCTCATGTTGTGAGCAAGAGATTTGAAAGCCACTGTCAATGAGATTACAAAAATAAAAAGTATAACAATAAGTATTCGACAAAGTAATGGAAGAAAGTTCACTGCAGATAATTTCAACAGAGGAAATGATAAAAGAAAGCAAAACGTCAACTAGCAGTGCTGATCGTGTACTCAAAAGACCTTCTCTGCTCAGAAAAAGAGCCTTTGCAGGTCACTACGCTTCCGATAGCTAGTAAAGTTGAGGCAGTTGCCTTCAATATTGAGCAGCTTCCAACTCCATTTGCAAATAAACACAAAGAATATCTCTGAACTCCCAAGTTTCAACACGCTCTCACATCCAAGGTACCAATCGCAACAATTTCATGCCTTATACAGCCATCCTTCTGTGTGGCCACATCCACTCATACTTCGCGGATCTCAACATAGCTAAAGCGATATGCGAAGCTCACCAACGGCCACTGCTTTATCCAAAAAAGGAAAATTGCCAATCGGAACACATTATTTAAGGTGTTTCTATCATGTGCTGTTTCTCCTTTTCTGCTTCATACCTTCGTCCACAGTGTACCGATAGGCGAGTAGCAGGATCCTCCCTAAAAGCTCCTGCTTCTTTTCCAAGCGCGCCCTTGGGAGCCAAGAATCATTTCGCTCTAACCTCGCACCTATGCCGCACATATCTCGCAAAATCCATTAGTCTTCCGGGAAGTCGCCTCGTTCCTCCTGATATCAACTGGAAAGGTCAGCGCATAAACACTCTTTTTAGATAACAACCAAGAAATGATTGACATTGACAATGACATATTCTCAGAAATATGCACCTGTAAAATCTAAAGTCATTTTCCAGCATTTTGTTGGCTTTGGCTGACCGAAATCAGTTTCTCATGAAAACCGACGCTTCCTAATGAGTATGTTTTTGAAGATCAAGTTGAAAGCAAAATAAACTAGGGATTTCTTATACAAGTGAAGCCTTACTTAGATGTTCTGTTTTTTTTCTATCTTCTGTTTTCTGCATGATTCTCTTGAAAGAAACTAATCACAGATTTTTATCAGTACATTTTTCACCAAAAGTATGCTTGATCTTTTTTTGGAGAAGAGCTTTACAGATTAATAGATATTCAGCATTCTACGCTGCTATACAGGGTTGGCCATAATTATAGCGACAAGATTTACTGCAATTAGCGTACTATTCTATCGCGCACATAGCGCGCCAGTTTTATCGATTTTTCAATCTCATCATTTTTTCTAACTCCTGTTAAAATTTGGTTAAAATTTGGTCCATTTATAGTGAAATAGTGAAGCCTCCTCCTGATCGTTCCGCTATCCTTCGTCTGCACGAAGCCGGCCGCCCACCCGCCACGATCGCTATGTAAGCACCTCGGCATCCACCGCAGCGTCGTGTATCGCACACTCCAACGTTATCGAGACCTTGGTGGACTCCAAGACCACCGAAGAAGTGGAAGACCTCGTACTGCTCGCACGCCGAAGGTCGTCGAGGGGCCGTCCGAAGGTCGTCCCGGCCGTCATTCGTCGACCCCGGCGTCAAAATCGACAAAGATTACTACCTGAAGACGATTTTGGAAGATGATCTACTCCCGTGGGCGAATTCCCACTTCACACGCCGCCCGTGGACATTCCAGCAAAATTCGGCGCCCGCCCACAAGGCCAAGGTCGTCCAAGCGTGGTGCAAGAGCGAACTCCCCGCTTCATCCCGGCAGAAGAATGGCCGGCATCGTCACCGGATTCAAACCCACTGGACTACATCTTGTGGTCCTACCTTGGGAGCAAGGCCTGCGCCACTCCCCACCCCAATTTGGATTCTCTGAAGGCAGCGCTCATCCGAGAATGGGACGAAATCGACGAGGCACTCCTGCGTCCGGTCATCGACGCCTTTCCCAGGCGACTTTGCCCTGTCGTCCGTGCCAAAGGTGCCCGAATCGAGAAGTAACTTATGATTATTAATTGTACCAGTTGTTACTTAATAAATGTTATGTTCATGACTCGTTTGCACTTTTCCTTTCTGAGATACAAGGTGAAAACCTTGTCGCTACATTTATGGCCAACCCTGTACTCACTGCAGCTTCAAAGGCTACGACCAAAGCACTTTCCTTGCCAGTCTTACTTTATTGCGAATTTCACAACACTTTCGTTTTTTAGGTATTAGCCACAAAAGGTCGTCTATGTGCTGACCTCTCCAATTAACGCCAGGAAAAACAAGGCGATTGTCCTCAACGGAACTGAGGCAGAAATGTGCAAGTTCTTTTAATCCTTATAGAACCTGTTCTGTTACTTAACTTAGCTCGGCTTTTTGGAAAGAGATTTATATATGCTGAATCAGCTTCGCACGCTGATTCCAAATATGCTATTCCTAGCTGCGGCGCTCCAATCTAGAACAAGTCATTGAATTTCTTGGCAAAAGCATACTCATCAACTTACTTGCATCACGGCATCATCATATAGATGCTAAAACACTTGAGTTGAACAAATATTGGATCTGGTGACTATACCTTAGCACCTTTTTTTACAGTTTTCTACCTACAGGCAGTCTTCCCTTCTTAGTTTGCCAATTTGCGCATGAAAATTCCCATAACTGCTTTGGAATAGTGCGCCGCAGCTAGGAGTCGCATATTCGGAATTAGCGTTCGAAGCTGATTCACAATATATATGTCCCTTGACAAAAGGTTGGGCTAAGTTAGGTATCTTCCTTATGAGTACAGCAAAGGGATATGAGCAGCTTATTGCCCAGATAATTGTAACATTGCTTCAACACACCTACATCCACCACATACTACCACCTCTCTATTGGGGCATATTGTCAACCCAAGGAATCTGCTGGACTAGTGTGATGTACACACCAGCAGAGAATCCATCAAGGCAACACCAACTACGCCTGAGGCAACGCCGGGTGCCAATATTATTGGCACCATCCCAATTTCCCACTTCTGTCGATGATTTTGCAACATCATATTAAGCATTGTTCAGTTGACACGTCTCTCACTTGAGTATCTCATAAGCGTGACTATCAATCCCATTTTGCATTTGCCTCACCCTCTTGATATGATACTTGGAGGCTGGACACGCCCTGAGGCTGGACACTCCCTTAGTTTTGGCTTGTTTACCGCTGCACCACCGAGTGCAGGTTGGTTCTCAGAAAATCCCAGTTGTCAATTTTACTGTGCTTCACACTTTGACAGGCCTACCATAAGGTCTTTTTGCAAGCGTCAATCCGTCCAAAAATCACTCCACTTTTTCGTGCATTGGCCAAGGTGAGCCCAATTACAGGCACCGTCCACCCAAAATGAAGGTTGGCGAGATTATGATGGCATACTACTGTGGGCCCTCACACTAGGCAAACCTCCGAGCTGCGCGGATTTCTCGCTTCAGAAGCAGTCTTTTGCGGCGCAGCTTGGAGGTTTGCCTAGTGTGGGGGTCCACAGTAGTATGCCATCCCATGGTCGCCCCGCCCACTTGCATGCTTTATCTCGCCTGCGTTTGCTGCAGAGGATTCTTGAAACAGGATTTTTTGGGTGTTTCGCGGATTTTCGGATGTTTCGCGGCTCCATATTCGAAATCAGGGCCTTCAGAAGGCCTGGAATCGACAAAAACAGGAAGCCGAGAATTTGGGTGGACGGTGCCTTTGAGTGTTGTAATGGTACCCGTTCTTCTTCAGAGCTGTCTTTTTTAACATTAAAAAGCTCCCTTATGAGAAATGACAGACATATCAGTTAAGTATGGGTAGATAGAGAAATTTTCGTAGATTCTTTGCTACCGAAAGAGCTCATAGAATTT